TTTATTAATTATTGGAATTTTGAACAGCAAAGCAAGTTCACAAATCAAGAACATAAATACTTATTTACCATTACTATCATGTAATTACTATTATGCAATACCCTTCAAATCATTTCATTCACAATAATTTAGTCGGTAAGTAAAAAATCATTTACATTCGAGATAATGTTTAAATAGCATGGCAGATGTAATAATAAAATCAATATATTAAATATTGTGATTATAAAGTGTCTCTAAATATGGTAAATGTGCAAATTGCAATGAATCTAACACACAACTAGCATGGTGTCTATCATGCGACCCTGACATAGAAACAAGGTGGACAAGTAGAAATAAGGAAATTGACGACTGTATGAAACAGTTCCAACTTAGAGCCTGGGAATATGAACGCATGATTGAGTGGATCCCATATGACAGATTAATTAATACAGAAAAAATTGGCAAAGGAGGATTTGGCTCAGTATATTCAGCAACTTGGTTAGATGGCATACGAAAAATTGAAAAAATTAAAATCGATGATAAAGACGATCATAGTGATGATGATGGAGACGATGATAGTAACTATTCCTATAAAAGATCACGAGAACCAAATAGTACCGTTGCACTCAAGACCTTGTCTGGTTCTTTAAAGGAAGTAAGTTAATTTACTGCTTTTATAATTAATTAATTTAATAATTACTTTATTGAACTAATAATTTATTGCTTAAACTCTAAGTTTGAAAGCTTTATGACATGTAATTTAAATTTTAGTAAGCTCACAATATATGGAATAACTCAAAATCCAGAAACAAACGAATACTTTATGGTATTTCAGCATGCTAATAATGGAAGTCTTCATAAATATTTAAAAACGAATTTTAGAAACCTCACATGGCAAAGTAAATTACAAATACTTCACGATATTTCGGAAGAATTATATTATATTCATAATTATTCAGATTACGTTCATGCAGATTTTCATAGTGGTAACATTTTGCAAGACCAACGTAATAAAGAAAATACACAATCTTACATCGCAGATCTAGGATTATCTAGAAAGAAAGATGAATGCTCTTCAAAAGACGAGATTTATGGAGTAATGCCCTATGTTGCTCCTGAAGTTTTATCAGGCAAGCAACAGTTTACACAGGCTGCAGATATCTATGGATTCGGTATTATTATGTCTGAAATGACAACTGGTAAAAGGCCTTTTGATGGACTTGAATTTGATTTAAAACTTGCATTTAAGATTTGCAAAAAAGGATTACGACCAGAGTTTGCTCCCGGAACACCTAAATGCTATATTGAACTTGCTGAGGAATGCATGAATTCTGATCCCAAAAAACGGCCTGGTGCTTGGGATGCTTGGAATAAAATGAAGTATTGGCTTAGAAAGATAGCTAGTTCAGATGATAATGAAATTAAAAAGCAATTTCTAGATGCTAATAAAGTTATTAAAACGTTGCCGATTTCAATACATTCTGATGAAATATATATTAGTAAATTGATTAGCACAAAGTTAATTTCAAATGCGCTTAAAAGTATTTATTTTTTAATTAATCTATATTAAAAATTATGTTATATTTATTTAAATATATTATTTATTTAGATTTGTCTAAAACCGATTCTTTTCAAGTTAATCGTGACATTACTGATAATTCTGAAAGCTTTGGTATGTATACAAATAATAATTTTATTTTGTAATTAATTGTAAGCAATAATAATTTTATTTATATTTTTAATAGATAAAAATTACGATTAAAATGTTTGATAAAATTAGCCATCGTTATTAATCATTTACAAATTATATATATTTTATCTGATTTTACCTGTTTGGTTTGCTATTTATTTGTACGGTATAATATACATTTAATTGTTATTAAACATCTACAATTTTGGTGTGTCTTTGTTGCCTATTTTGCTTATTTGTTTGTCTGTTTTGTGTTATCTTCTTTACCATTTCTTGCCATTTGTGTCATGTTTGTGCATGAGATCGGCAATCGAAATTTCCTCTTAATATATAAATGAAAATTTTTTCTCCTGCCATTTTATATATAGCTTTAACAAGATCGATTATACTTACTTCTTCCTCATTTACAATCTCTACACTTTCATCTTTTGATGTTTTAGTTTGTTTTCTAATCATAGTTTCAATTTCTTCTCTAATAAAAACATCTAAATTATCTTCAATTGAAACTTTCACTTGTTTAGTACTTTTTTGTAATGGATTTTCTACATATTTTATATAATATTTATTGCACAAAACAATATTCTTTTTCCATGTTACCTCTGCCTTTAGTGGTATTAAGTTCTTATGCTTAAGTGCTTCCTATTTTTCACCTTAAACTAGGTGAATTTTTTTCTCATCAGTAAATTTGCAATGTTCATATTTTTTATTTCCAAACATACTTTTACTTGGCAAATTGTATTATAAAAGTTGTGAGATTAATAGAAATTATTTGAATATGTTATAATATAGCATGAAGACTTCAAGTTTGCTTAGTGAATTTGCTCATGCTTGTTAGAAGAGTTATATAATCCAAACTTCCTAAAAAAGTATTATAAAGTATATAAAAAAAATTCTTTGTTAATTGTATAACTATTTGAAATAATTTCCATATATGGGATATTCTCTCCTGTTGGTCAACACTTGCAGTTAGGATTAACCATTAAACTGCTAACTATATATAACTAAGTTAAGTACAAATAAGGAGTAAACTACATTCAAAAGTAAAGTTCAGACATATTTATCTGTGACCTAAACCTACTAAAGTGATCAAGATTCATCTAGATTTGGATAATTAAAATATAGTTAAAAGAGATATTGTATTTAGTCTAGAGAATAGTCAATATATTAATTTTTCTAATAACATGACTGATGAGTGAGTATGTGTTGGAGTTTAAATATACTTAATCAGATAGTCCACATATACATAAATATATATATGTTTAACAGTTATATTTAGTTTGTCTATTATAATTAGTTTGAGTTAAGTGTTTAGAGAAAAGTAGTTTAAAATCTTGTTATTTTTTTTAATTTAAAAAGTTTATATAGTATGGTTTTCAAAGTAGATCATAACATAACTCATTAATTTTGAGTAGTATTTTAATAGCAATTTGTGATACTAATTTGTAGAGAATATTAAGGTTTTGGATTATTTAGATTAGTAATTTAGGTATAAGTTCTTTAAGTATAATATCAAGATAAAATAAGTTTTTATTAAATGGTATATAATGAAAGGCTTCATGGTTTTGGATTTTTTGAATAAGTTTTTCTTACTAATATTTAGAAAGATCCAAGTTGCTTTGACTAATGTGTTTAAAGATAGTATCTTATATAATACTAGTAAGTAGTATAGGATTAAAACATGTTCACCAGTATGTTGAAAAGTCTGGTAAGTTGCAGTAAAAGCAGTTTGTATTATAGAAAGTATGTGGATATATTTTATAATATAAAAAGTATATATATAGTTCATTTAATAAAATTTTAATTTTAAAGGATTTAAAATGATTAAATTTAAAATTGGTTATATTATGTATTAGTTTTTGGTTATAATTGGTTATATTGTATATTGGTTTTTGGTTATAATTAAAATATAGCCAAATGGACCTTCAATCTATTTCTGAAATAAGTTAGTTCCATACTTGGTTATGTCTATATTGTCAAAATGTAGGCTTTGCAAATATTTTTAATAAATATCCTAGTAGGATATTTTATAAAATATTGGTTGCAAAACAATATATGATATGAGTTATATATATTTGTATATTTGAAGTATAGATTAGAAGAAAGATTATGTTGTTTAGTAAAAAAGTCAGTAAGGTTGTTCAAGTCATTGTCAATATAAGCTTGCACTTTGTGAAAGTTGATTGAAGATTATAAGATTTGATGATATTTAATAAGAAATATCATTTAGAACATGTATTGAATTTGAAAAGTTTATTAAAGTTAAAGAATATAGTATAGATGTTAGAATATTTAGTAATAATAAATTGGGAATTTGTAAAGATATTGACTATTGCATTTCATAATATAGTAAAAATAGCTAAGAGGATAGCCATTAGTTCTTCTTTGTAAGCTAATGATCAAAAGTGTATTTTGACAAAAAATTTGTGAATAAATTAGTTATTATTATTAATCTGAACATAGCCAATACCTATTGTATATTGGTCAGTTCTAATATTAATTATTGAGTCATTAGTTTAAAAGTTAAATTATTGTTAAGAGCTATTAAGAATTGAGTATTGTTCAAGTATATTTGCTGCTTTATTGGTTTTGAATATTTCAAAAATATAAGAGTTAGAAATTGGAATTGTTGGTGCAGAGAGAATTAATAGTGGGTGTTTAATGACTATTAAATAAATGAGGTCTATATAGTTGGCATTTAAGTTTATTAAATTAAAATTAATTCTTTCTAAGAACTAAGAAGAAATTATTGCAAATATATTAATTGTATATAAATTTTGAATTCTGTTAAAATTTAGATGACAGTCTAAGTAAAGAGAGCATTGGGTTGGTAAAAAAGGATAGTAGCTAGAGTGATTTATATCGATATTTGTTTGCCAATATGTAATAGATATTTGGTTGATACTCTTGAAATATCTGCAAATTTTACTAATAATAATCTAATTGTTAGTATATCTTAGTAACAAAGATTTGAATTTTTTAGAAAAATGTTGTAAGTTATATGCAAATGGGTTATTTTCTAATTGTTAGTAGTATGGAAGAAGAACTTTGTAACTATTGTAAGTCATTACAGTATCTTTCAAATATGTAAACCATAATGGTTTTCAGTTTTTAGATAAATATAACAGTTATGATAAGAGGTGTTTTTATTTAAGTAAAGTAGTATTGTTAGCTATACAAAGCTGTTCAAGATATAAATTGTAAAGATTTCTGATTTGTTTTTTAAAGCTAATATATTGTGAATGTTGAGATAAAATTAATTCTAGAGATTGAAGATTGTATAATACAGTATTTGGTTATAAAATATTGGAGTTGGCTGTTATAGATATGTTTAAATATGTCAGTAATTGAATAATTTTAAAATTTAAGGCATGTTTGTTTGGGTCATTAATGATGGAATTGGGATATTGAAGTATATTAATAGTTGATTATAAATTGTTTTGAAGCTGTTGTAATTTGATCCATATTGAAATTCCTAATAAGTTAGAATTATTAATTTATAATAAAAAGTTGGTAATATAATGTTAGAATCAAATATTCCATATGTTATAAACATTTTACAAATGTGGATTAAGTATAGTACTATTAGAAATTAAATATGCTAAGTAGGATTTGTGTTTGGCTACTGCTAGGTATTTGGCAAGAATATTGTTACATGTTGAATGAGACATAATAATGTTATACAATTTATATTTAAGTATAGGTATAATAACAGTATTAATTTTTGTTTATCTGTGATTTTTTTGTATTAGTAATATTTGTAAGTTGGAGTATTTCTTTTTAAATAATTTTAATTTGTTGGATTTGTTTGTTGTTAAGTATAAATCAACAATTTAAAAACTTAAATGATTGGTTAGCCAATATAGATTTCAAAGTAGAGTTAAAAATTGAATATTAAATATAGATAAATTAGAGATAAAAACAGATTTAGTAGCATTGATCTGAATGTTGATCATTAAGTAGAAAGATAAAACAGTTTGAGTAATTTGCTCTAGCTTTTGTTTCATTTTTGTTATCTAAAGTGTATCATTCATGTAAGCTAGTACTAATTTAAATGCATGTAGACTTTGAGATCTGGATAGTTGGAGATAAGTTTTCCAAGTTATAGATAGTGAGTAACCTTTATATTGAGTTGCAATTCTGTTAATGAGTGGATTATAATAAATATACCAAAATAGAGAGGTTATTGTTTCTCTTTAATCTGTTCTATTTTTGATTGTATATGAGTTAGTTAGGCTTTTTTTTTTATTTATTATTATTATTAATAAAAAAAAATAAAAAAGTCTAAAAAAAAATAAAAGAAAAAAAAAACTAAAAAAAAAATAATTAAGTCTTGCAATTCTATGATATAATATAAATAAATTATTATCAATAAAGAAATTTGGACTGAACTATAGTTTAGCATATACTAATATATACAATTGTCATAATGTGATATCATTAAATTGATAATATGCTGTTAAATATAGTGCTTCAATAAATGCATTTCAGAGTTTATTTTTGTTTACTTTGAGATAATTTGTAACTTGATGCAATTTCATAATCCTTCTATGCTATTCATATGTGCACTTGTTTTAGGATCTATAAAACTTTCTAAATGATTGACAGTTTTATGCTTATAATCTAGTTTTTTAATATTCAGATAACCTTTTCAACAATCTGTATAAACAATAAATCCTTTTTCAACATATTTTTCTAAGATAACTTTGATTGTTTCTTTCTTATATTTCTGTATCTTTATCAGAAAACATCATTTTTATTCTGTTCTTTCAATACCACTAATAATCTATACATTATTAATAACTCTGTTACAATAATATTTTCTTTTTTCAAATTTAGATTTATTAATTTCAACAATGATTTTTTCACTACCTATTTTATCTTCATAATCTTTTAAAGTATTAATAACTAATTCTCGATAAAATTTCATATAATTAGTTATTGTATTTGGTGAATGATCAGTCATCTTTTTAATTAAATAATAATTATATTTAGATAGTCAAAAATAGCCAAACATTATTATAAAATTGTATTTTACATGCTTTTTTGAAAACAAAAAATCTTTGAATATCGAAACCAATTTTTTGTACTTTTTATTTATATAAGTAAATCTTTTATTATTTCAAAACAAGTTTGCTTTACATATTTTATATTCTGTAAGTTTATACAAAATATTATTGTTGAATAAAAATTTAATACATTCATTTTTATCTGTAAAAATCTTTACAAAAGTTGAATACTAAATTAAAAAGTAAATTATAACTTTTTATATGAATACTAATTATATAACTAAATAAACAAAAATTACAATTCTTTTCTTTCTCTTCTCATTATTTTTCTTTGTCTCTTTAACATTATAATAAACAAAAAATATTTATTAATAATAGATAACTTTTAATAAATCTTTACATCAGTTGCATCAATCTAAATATTGTTTCTTGTTATGCTTTTTCTTGTTA